ACGTCGTCACCATCATCGGCGACATAGGTGTTTTCAATGGGCCGGACACAATCAGTAGCACGGTGGCCGCCATCAAGACGGACATCACCAAGCTGCAGACGAGACCGGACGCCGCTACAAAGACTTACAAGATGCGGCACTTCGACATCAGCAAGTTCGACGACTACAAGAAGTCGGACGCCTTGACATGGTGGCAACGTTTCCTCACGGAAGCATCATGCCGCACGGTCCCGGCAGACGACATGATGAAGGCACTCTACTTGCAACGAATTGGAGGAGCGCAGGCTTGGATGAACCATCTGGCGGCTACCAACAAATGCACCATCGCCGAACTCCACACGCACATCACGTGGAAAGAGTTCGAGAAGCTATGGTTCATCCGGTTCATGGTCCGCAACGTCGTGAAGGCGGYCATGAACGAGGTGTACACCTGCTCTCAAGGAAATATGCCAACTCGAGACTGGACAACCAAGTGGCAGAAGATAGTGACCACGCCAGGATTTGATTTGAGTTTTCCAAATCAACGATCCAAGTTCTTCTCGCGATCGTGCGCGGGACTGCGGTCGGCACTCGGCAACGAGTACGACTATGACACGTTCCAGGCCATTCTGGATCGTGCGAACTTAGTCATCCAAACGGATGACAAGGCTGCAAATGAACGGCAGTCCCAGCCGCATTATGTGGCTAAGCAGGGCTATCAACGTCCGGCACATAACAATGTCGTGATTTATGAAGAAACAGACGATCTCCACGCTGCAGCAGCATCCTCGAGTGATGGAGGAATTGTAGCAGCGCTCCCGCCGAAGCGTCCCAAGAGAGTTCGGAAGAACAAGGCGACACAAGAGACAGCATCGACGGGAACTGGGCAGCAACCATGGACGGCTTACAAGATAACCAAGGATGTCTATGACCTTGGTCAAAAGTACGGATACTGCCTCTGGTGCAACGGCGTCACTCATGTGACCGCACAATGCCCCGAAAAGAGCAAGGCACGCGTACCCCGTCCAGCAAACTCGGGAAACTGAGTTACGCAAGGAGAGGGGCGACGTCTCTCCTCACTCCGCCGGACCCGGTTGCCTTGCTAGCAATCGATGTCACTACCGGGGAGCATGCATTAGTCGCTGATTCTCGTGCCACGTACGAGGATTATGCCGCCYAGCTGGTACCACCATTAGACCAGCCAAGCCACGTGCACTTAGCTAGCGTATGCGCAGCCTGTACACCGTCGGCAAGTGATCCGGTCAGTTCGCCACTGATTTCCGAGGACTCGACAGCATGGTCAAGACTTGAGGAGCTTGACCCGCTCACGAGAGAGGACTTCGCTTGGATGCCTCTACCCCCGACCGGAACCTTGCCAAGGCCGCATTGCAACGCCTTGAGGGCAACTCTATGCTCCTATTTGCACACTACAGTACCAGCTCCGTTGACGGACGATGCCGTAGCAGTTGTCGATCTCCGCTCCTATCTTGCGAAGATTGACCGCGAGTACGCCACCCAAAGGTACGCGGAAACCGACGCACCTTTGCTCTATATCCGCATTCAAATCGGAAAGGCAACCTGTAGTGCCTTGATAAATTGCGGAGCGTCTCGCAACTTTATGAGCCAAGCCTTTATGGCCCGCGCAGGTCCTGGCCCGCGCGTTCGAAGGAAGACGCAACCTACGCAAGTTACACTTGCGGACGGCCGCACACAAAAGTCAATTTACCGATGCGTTGACGGCGTTCCGGTCTACTTTGCACCACTTGCGTGCGAGCCGGTGTCTTTTGACATCCTCGACACCAAGTTCGACATGATTTTAGGCATGTCTTGGTTGCGTAGCGCCGATCATCCGGTGAACTTCCATGACCGAACCGTTCACATCCATGATCGGCTCAAGACCGGTACAAGACCGCGTTCAAGACGCGGTACGGGCATTTTGAGTGGGTTGTCATTCCCTTTGGCCTCACCAATGCCCCCGCAGCTTTTCAAGCAGCAATGACGACTGAGTTTCGCGACTTGCTCGATCGCAGCGTCCTCATCTACCTTGATGACATCTTGGTTTATAGTAGGACTTTGGACGAGCACATCGTACACCTTCGCGTTGTTCTGCATCGTTTGCGACTAGCCAAGTACAAAGCGAATCTCGACAAGTGTGAATTCGCCAAGCAAGAGCTTGAGTACTTGGGYCATTTTGTCACGCCGAAAGGCATTCGTCCCTTAGCGGACAAGATCCAAGCCATCGTGGATTGGCCGGAACCCCGTTGCATGACGGATGTACGCTCTTTCATGGGTCTGGCTGGATATTATCAGCGATTCGTCTAGTCATACTCGAAAGTGGCCGCTCCTTTGTCGAGACTTCAGCCCCCGAAGGTGCCCTTCGAGTTCGACAACGCAGCCCGTGGCGCGTTCACTACGTTGAAGGCAGCAATGCAAGCCGCACCTGCCCTCCATATATACGACCCCACCCTACCCACCCAAGTGACTACGGACGCTTCAGAATACGGTATTGGTGCGGTGTTGGAACAGTGTCACAAGGACGGTTGGCATCCGGTTGAGTATTTCTCCCAAAAGGTGCCTCTCGTCAACACTCTCGACGACGCTAGGAAGAAAGAGCTACTCGCGTTCGTCATCGTTCTCAAACGGTGGCGCCACTTTCTTCTCGGCCGTCGGC